GACAACGACGACGACGACGACGACGACGACGACGACGACGACGACGACCAAGACCAACGAAATCAAGAGGGGGAGATCGAAAAGAAGAAAGCCGGTGGTACGAAGGAAAGAAAAGGGAAAGAAAGAGAAAGAGGAAGAGAAAGAGGACGTGGACGAGGACGAGGACGAGGACGACAACGGCGACGACGACGAAGACGGAGGACGACCGCTGGCGGAGGGGGTGGACGTCCACGCGGGAACTCGAGGCAGGCGCACCCGGCCGGCACGCACACACATTCATTTTAAGATGTGATTTCAAAAATGGCGGATTGCCCCTATGCCCGCTGCATACAGGAACGCAGACACATCCGACGGGAGCTGCTGCGATGGACAAAGAATATGGTCTTCGTAGTCGGTGAGTTAAGCAATCGCGATCAAAGGTATTCTCTCCTAAATAGCTGTTACATTCGGCGAATATTCGCGTCAAACGACCGTATAAGAAACTGTATCGTTGTTTCACCGATACTCGTGTGTACACCAGTAGATAGGTACCTACCAGTAGGTATATACGGAGAATCTATGGAAGTTGGTGTGACCACGTTGGCTCGAGAGCCGCATGGTGAATCTTCGAATGTGTCGGGTCGGTCGGGGGGGAGGGGGGATACGTAGATGCAACAGCGTGAGTTGGCCGTCTGTGTGTCGATGTGGCGAGAGAGAAAGATAAAGGGGCGGGAGGACGAGAGGGGTTGGAGGGAGAATGAGGGCGGGAACGGGAGAGATAGGGGTCAAATAGGGGAAGAGGGAAAGATAGAAAGAGAGAGGAGGAGGAGGAACGCCGGTGGTGAGACCTGTTGCGAACCGAAACGCCGAATCCTGGTTGACTGTGAGCCAGGCGTGACTCCTACTCGTGTCCGTACGTTCAACAGGGTGGTTGCACGTTGTCGAGAAACATAGCGATATTCCGCGCGTATATTTCGCCGCGCGCCACTAAATTTCACGATATTTCGCCTCTCGCATAATTTTCGTGAAATACCGTCGACCCCGTTGCAACACGTCCCGGCTAAAAATGGGGCTAAAATTCCGCGCCGGCAACTTTACTTTCGCCACTCCTCGCTCACCCCCCTTCGCCGTTTACCCAGACGAATTTCATTAACTTTTTCCATTAACTATTTTCCATTATCCCGTAACAAATTATTCCCTCGCAAATCGTTTCTTCTAAAAGGTGTGTGCAAATATCCTTTCAAAGATATCGGAATCGAGAATTTTAATTAGGCCAACGTAAAATATGATTCGACGACGGAGGAGCAGCGAAGGAGAGGTCGCGTAACAGCTTTCGCCGTTCCGCACTCTCGTACGCCGGCGCCTCCCCGCTAAAGCTGCCTTCGACACCGCCACAACCAACGCCACGCGTCCCTACATACGAGAGTGGAAGGCGCGCACCGAAGAATACTGCACAAGCTGCGTACCTTGACCACAGACAACCGAGCGATCCCGGCCGCCGCCCGAAACCTTCTTTTCTTCTTCTTACTGCCTCCCT